TTTGGAGGCCAAGTGTAGACAAGCTGTAATTAAGTTTAAGGCGATTGTGGAACGACAGAGTGTCTAGCAACAATGTGACGCAGTTCCTGCGATATTTAAAGAACAACAAAGAAGGCATTACCTTTTAATCTTGTTTTCATTTTATAGGGCAATTGTGTAAAATGTTGCAAAGTACTTACATGGGTCCATGTATTCTTTTTATATCTTGTTCTTTTATGTGTGTCTGTGTGGGTGAGTGGGTGCGTGTATGTGCGTGCGTGTGTGTATTGCTGTCTGTCTGTGTTAATTATGTGTGTGTCTTCTCTCTCTCTCTCTCTCTCTCTCTCTCTCTCTCTCTCTCTCTCTCTCTCTTTCTTTTTCTCTCGCTTTCTCTCCTTCTCCTTTTCTCTCTTTCGTACATATGATATCAATCCTCTCGTTTGTTTGTTGTTGTTGTTGTTGTTATTGTTTTTTGTCATTTCAGACGAAGATCTGACACGCACAAGAAGAGATATCATATGAACAAACGAGGATTGTCTTACGATTAAAATTTGTTTTTGTTCGTTTTCGTACTAACAACAGGAAAAGTACCACACCACTCAACAGTGTTCGTGTGTAAGCCTCAAAGCCGCGATAACTATCTTACCCTTATTGCTACTACAATCGTTACATCGGCGACGGGGGATGTGCTCCCCCACTCCCCCCGTTACGCTACAAAGGTCTTCTTCATGTCCCTCTGTGGCTCATCTTGATCACCAACTGAAACTAGGAGAATAATTTCCCCGGTACAATGTGCCCTGAAGTCACCTCTGTCACGCAGTTCGGGGAGAAGATAGCATCAGCCATCAGAGAGGGTTTCTTCGGTCCGATCCCCTAGGCAAAGTCTTTGCTACTCGTAAAGACGGTAGGGTTTTCGGGGTGGGGCTGTGGAGAGGGGGGGGGGGAGGAGGAGATCAAAAGCAAAGGAGTATACGCCCAGTGAAGACTTGCCCGAGTCCACTTGTTTGATTGAGTCCTTTCCACAAATCAAAATAAGTGGTAAATAGCTACGAACTCGTTCGATAACTTGATACATCTTTGTTTGTTTGTTTGTTTGTTTGTTTGTTTGTTTGTTTGTTTGTGTCGGGTATCTTCTAAATTTTAACTCGCCTTGCACCCTAGGTACAGGATCTTTACTTGATAATAATATTGCTACATTTATTTATAACGAACGCTTCCTCCTTGAAAAACATAATAATATTATTATGGTTGATGGCAGCCTCCCGAAAAGTCGTACTTTTTCCAATCCATCTGTAATTTCCGTCGCCCCTCTTGCTTTCTCTTAGAACAAAATGACAATGATTTGGGTAATTCATCTACGCTGAAACGATTTCTCCGAAAAGTCCTTTTATACTATAAATACTCCATATAATTGACTCTTTTACGCCCCTCCTTCTATCCCATTTGCTCTTCAGACACCTTAGAACTTTAACAAAGGCCAATTTTAAAACAGTTGTGGACATACATTTCATTGTAATGATTGAAACAACCCACATGCCCTTGTTCAAAATAGGTGGCGAGGTTTGCTCGAATATTGTTAGCTTGACATCAATCCTGGTGTAATGTGGCGTAGACATGTGTGGCATTCATATTTAGTAAGCTTGGACTGGCTTGATGTAATGGCTCGTAAATCAAATGTTTTCATTCACAGGCCTTAAAAAGATATTCATTGAGGTCCCAGTTTCTTTCATTCAAAGAAGCTAGCGCCTGTAGATTATTTTATGCAGCTTATGAATAAGATTTTTTAAACTGCTCGCAAAATTCCATGAATAATTATTTAAGCAAACCCCCAGACTGGTCAGAATGCAAAACGCAAACTAAAGCTTTCAAATGCAGGAGAACAATTTGCTCCTTCTAATAGTGTGACATTTCGTTGCAATGTTTCAAACGAATATTTGATTTTGTGACTTATGGGTAAACATTCGTTGAAGACTAATTCTAAAATTGACTCGTGAAAGCGTGATTTTTAAAAAAATTGGGGTAGGGGGAAGAGAGGGGGGGGGAGTCTTTTTTGTCACTAAGAATATATACATGTAATGAGTACGCTGTCGTGAGTGTGATTCTGCTAGGATAATATGTCTAAGTCAGAAGGTAAGGTGATGTGCCTGTAGTTGTATTTCAAACGTAAAAGAATGCGTGGGGGCTTTCTTAGTACTACCCTGGGCCTCAATTACTCCTCTTGTTGTTGCACACACACACACACACACACACACACACACACACACACACACACACACACACACACACACACACACACACACACACACACACACACAGATTCTTGGGCGCAAAATCAGTTATACTGTCTTTTTCTATATTTTTGTTAAACTAAATTGTTGAAGAACAACTAACATATTTTACAAAATACACCTCCAAA